GGGTGTTTTGCATACTAACTGAGAACTGAGTTTCAAGTTTTTTTTGGGTCTCATTAGTGCCGGGCACATCCAAACAATTCGTGTTTTATGCTTAAAAAGAAACTTTGAAAACTATTAAATTTATTACATTTTCTTTATCCCTTTTTAAAACTGTTTTATGTTCAATATTCTTTAAGAAATATCAGTCAGTGAGGAAAACTTAATTTGTGAGAAATGAAGCCGTAGTGGAAAGAAAACTGAAAATACAATTATAACAATGCAAAAAACGCTTCTTTCAAGAAGTTTTTCTGTATAAAAGAGCCTGAGAGACGATTGCTAAAATAATATCGGCCATAAGAGAATTTCATTTATTTTGCTATTTCGTGTTCCAACGCTAACAATGAGAATAAGACAGAAATATTTATTTTTTGATATGAAGGGCACTAGAAAGTTTTTGTGGGTTTTATATGGTCTTTAAAGTGTTGATTAAAGTTTTTTTGTATGTGTATGTCTAACTTTACACTTAAATATACATTTAACACTGAATTGCAAAGAGGACCTTCAAAGTTTTATTTTGAGATTATCACTGCAAAAATTTGGTATATAATTGGGTCATTTTCAAGAAACACCTGCTTTCAGGAAAATGAAGATCAAAATTTTTTTTGCTTAAATTGACTTTTGGTTGGATTTTTATAAATGTTTAGAGTTTTGTTTACTTACATTTAAGACAGGCAGTGTACTTTTTAATTTTTTTACGTTTTTTTCAGAAAAATGTGTTTAGCTATCTTTATATATCTCCACTGTGTTACCAATTTGAAATCCAAAATTTAATTCAATAAAAAAATGTGTTATAAAAATAATTTGAAATAAAATGTACTTAGTTCACAAACTTTTGACTCAAATTTTTTATTTTATTTTATTTTTTATTAAAAATTGTATGCTTTTTTTTTAAATATGTATGTTCGTTAAGTCACTTTTTAAAAGAAACCATTCCGATTCTTTGTTAAAAAAAACAATACCATTAATATTTTCTTTTAGTCACTGTATGTGAATTAAACTCTAGTTTATAAACACGTATTACCAAGTGATAGTGTATAAAAATCATTTTAAGTATTTTTTTTAACAAAAACTAAAAAAAGTAACGAAACAGACATTGGTATCACAACGGACAGGGGTACACAAAGGACTTAATCAGATATCGTAAAAAAGAAACTATATAGGGTGGTACGATTTTAGAGTAATGCATAAACAAAATCCCTTGTAGTGGTGCTCACTTGCAGAATAACAACTTTGATTTCTAAATTGTAGACACCCTTTTTCTTTGACTATAAGCTGGTGAAGGTCCCTTTTAGTACTTATATTGCGTGGAATTTTTCCTTGGATGTAATCTATATCATGAGTTGTAATTACAAATAATTTTAAATTGGTTAATCTTAAACTACTTTCAATAAAAGCGACGGTAAATATCCACTTTGTTGTCGAAAAATTCCATTGCGTTACCCTAAATTCCATTGCGTTACCATAAGGTAACATAGTGGACTCGGTAACGCAGTGGACAAAGTTTTGTAAAACCATATTTAAAAAATAATAATAAGACATTATAGTCATTAATTACTCTCAATGAGCTTTAGTGCCCTAAAATAAACATAAACATGGAAAATAGTATTTTTTCTTACCTTATTTTTTTGAGTACCTTAGCGGACAAACAATTATTACATTCGCGTTACCCGCACCTGTTTCAACCGATATCTTCTTCCTGATTGAATAAATAAATTTAGCTGGGTAATGTGTACGTCCGAACATCATTTGTTGATCACGTGAGTGCCATATATATGTTTTTTTTTTAATATTCTATTGTAAAGCGCACAATCTACTGCCTCAGCTGACGCCTCGGCAGTGAAATGTATGCCCAGCGATAATAAGTGGTTTTTCAATTAGTAGTGTTTTTTTGTATTCTTTATATTTGATCGGTTACTAATTACAAGTTCAGTGTAGGGCAGGAAAATAGGGATTTCAGGGGGTGATAAGGGGTGAAAGTGGTGCAACACATCAAAAAGCAAGATCAAAGACTATGATGCAATATTGTTGCCATGGAAATTCTATCTTATCGTGATTGAAATGCAGTTTGCATGAACCTACTCATTAGTACGGTGATTGCTTTTCAACACGTATGCCCTTTATGGGAGCGTTATCCTAACAAATATAAATTTTGACTTAAAAGTGTTCAAATCACTTTATTAATGTTTAATAAACTTATTAGTAGGTATATTCTAAAGATACTATAATCCAGTGCGCAAGCTCAGAACCACTTCTACTAATGTATAATTGCATTTGTTTATAACATGTAAAAATGCCATTAGTTATTATAATTCCTATTGTAGGTTTACATAATAATATTAAAGCCATAAAGAATTTTCCCGGAAAACTTTATATTTTACAGAGCATCGTATTAAAAGTATTTTCACCATTCCCTGTAGCCTTAACGGTCTTTGAGCTACGAAAGGCAGTAACTTAATTTGGCCGAATAGAATGCTAGAAAAATAAAATTGCCATCAAAGAAAAGCGGAAAATACAATTACAACTGTGGAAAAACGTTCCTTTTATAAATTTTTTGCAGGATAAAACGCTTCAAGCAATTTATATCATCATCTTCCTCTAACTTTTGCGGTTTTTTGTTGATTTATTATATCAGTATACAAATTTTGATGTAGTATGCGAAATTTAAACATAAATATTAAAATAGTATGGAATCGAAAATCATTGTTTGATTACCTGACAGTTGGAATAGCAAAACCTGTCAACTCGGCGTGTTGCTTTTTTTTTTAAACTCCCCTTGGGTTTCGCCTACTCTACCACAGCCAACTCATACAAATTTTAGTGTCGAAAAGTTATCATTTTAATGTCTTCCACACTTCTCGCAATTTTCAGCTACCTGTCATGCAGAGGCGTAGCCAGGGTTTTTGTACTATTTATATGATTCAGAAGTTCGTTTTATTTAATAATTAATGTTTAGTTAAAACTTTTTTAAGGAGAAACTGTGTTGTTGGGTGTATTAGATACAATAAATACACATTTTAGTTGTGATGAACGTAAAAAGTGTTAACATTTCAATGCAGTAAAAATCGTCAAACAAATAAGTCACCTAAATTTAAACAGCATTTATTAAAAGCGTTGATTAAGAAAGTCTCCACAACGATAAAATACCATTATTTATTTAATATTATTCCTTGTTACGGCTCTGTATTTAACATATTTCCATTATTATTTGCGACTTTTGGGTTTTGAATTTATTTCGTATTACCTACTTTTTACTTTCCAATAAAAAATATCTTGACGGTTTTTTTACTTTAATGTCTTGTGGTAATAACTTGAATAGGTTTAAAAAAGCAGACGTCTGGGTTTTGTTTTTATTTTATTGCCTGAAAATTAAATTTATATGTCTCTTTAAGCGGGAAACTACGTAATTTACATTTTTATATTTTCATAATGCTATAATATAGACATTTATCACCATTTAAATTTGTCCTCTATAGAGGACACTGAAACTACCAGCGTTGTTAGTATTTAAGCTTGAATTTCCCTCACCACATAGGCCTTTTGATTTTAACCACAAAAAAATATTTAAATATAATAAGACATTTATTGTTTGATATCAACAAAAGCGCAAGTTTTTTTATGCTTACACCGATAAACTAACATAAATATGACATAAAGATAACATACAATTTTTATTACATATTTTAAGTAATGAATTGCGTAAATATAGCTTTTGAACAAAAACACTTTGTACTTGGTTGAAAGGAAAAACATTCAAGAGATTTTGTATTTGTTTTCAAGAGAACTATACGTCTCCCACTAAAAATATTACTTGATACAGTTAAAAGGTAAAGAGGGTAAATGTGTGTGTGTTGACAATAATGATCGCTCCTAAACTAAGGACAAACTTTGATAATCAAATACCCGTCCAGCTAGAGTTTATTAACTTTGACTTTAAGCTTGATGACCAATTTGGTTAATACGTATGTTACCCGGGGCTAAAAGCAGGGGAATATATTCTCGACAATGCAGATTTTAGGGGAAAATTTCGTTTGATGATATTGATACCAAGGTTGGAATATAAGTTAAATACAATGGATTAATTAATATTAAATAATTACATTTATGTTCCTAGACAAAACTTTGAGCGAGTCAAATATCCGTACAAGACTACAAAGCCTTCGAAACCCAGGTAGCGTTATGAACATCCCAAATTATTTTACGATAACGTATAATTTTCCATGTCCCTATTCTATACTCGGTCTATGTAGCACAGTGGGCAGAAATACTCTACATGACATTTTACATTCAAACCCGGAAGCCACTGTATATCACTGATCTATCGTATATATTGTTTTTACCTCTAAAACATAACTTCATAATTCATACGGGTATGATGGCAAGAGCGACACATCTTAATTTTCAAACAAAAAACATGTTTTAACCAAAACAAGATTTCTTTTTGGCCCAACGTGACATTACAGACAAAATATATGTGCACTGGTGTGGCATGACACTATATTACCAGATAGGAATTTGAATTTCATAGCAAGTGCTAAAGTTGTTTCCTTAATAATTATTGTTGGTTACATTCTACCTTTTGGATTTAATTAGTGCCGGGTAGTCAAGATCAATCATAAATTAAATGTAAAGAAGTTGTTTAATGCCTGGCTATAAATTAAAAGTCCTTCATAACAATGTTATCTGCTCAGCACTTTAATTTTTCGCCACTTTAAAGCACAATGTGAACATTAAAAATGGTCGTAATGGTCTTGGTAATTTTTATATGCAGTTTCTTAAAGCATCCCCTTTGCTCAGAATAAAGCAAGAAACAGGGGAAACGATGAAAAAGGAAACAGTAATTACTTAAAAAATCGATTCGTTAGAAGTTTCATTGTATCCACTGGGCAACAGTAAAAGATCATTAAATCGAGCAAAAAATATTTATTGTACAATTGGCTACGAATAATATTTTTTTATTTCAGACTCAACAGTAAGATGATCTTTTCAACATGACGAGCAAAATTCGGTATGATCTGGATTTTGTAAAATGGAAAGGAAAAGATCCGTTCGTAGACCAAGAAGAAGACAAACGTTTGCGAAAAAATGCAAGGAGTACGCAAGACAGTTCATAGCCTTCTTGTTCAGCAACGTTGGTATCATCTTGTTAGTGGTAAGTTTCTTTGTTATTTGTTAGCTTGTTCGACAAAATTTTCTGTATAGGTGGGGTATACTATAGCAGGATCATTCATATTTATGTCGTTGGAGAAGAAATACCACATGAAACTGAAACAAGACGTCTATAGTACCAGAAAAATGTACGCTGAAAAATTTTGGAACATCACAATGGATATGAATCCTTTTGATGAAAAAGTCTACAAAGCAATAATGATGGATGAATTGTACACTTACCAGAAATTGTTTGTTAACTTCACAAGGAAAGGTTATGATGGTTTCACAGATGAAGAAACATCTTCCCAATGGAGCTTTGCAGGTGCTTTTCTATATTCCTTGACAGTCATCACTACCATTGGTAAGTTCTTTTCAGTTTTGGAGACCATTAATTTCAATCAGTGAATGGTTGATGAGTTTTGGTGTCTTCCCAATGATATATTGCTGACAGGCTTAAGAATTAAGACTTTTTGAGTAGGTAACATTGCCTCCATGCCTTACCTTTCCTGGCAGACCTAACTGCCCAAAACGATAAATTTCTCCCAGATAATTTACAGTCGGGACCACTGTGCTTGTTTCCCACATACGTTACAGTGGAGCCATCATAAATCAACCCTTTTGTTTGTCGTTACGCTACCGGAGCAACAGTGCATATAGTGTGCCGTATTCGCGTTATGTGTATATATGCATCCTAGGAGGTTTTGAATGACGACGCTGGCTAATAAGTTCTAAATTAGGTTATCTGCGTGATACAGGCGCCGCCTTGATAAAGGGGAGTCTGGTTTTAAAGTAAATATGCGAGCAAAATCCATTTTTAAAGTTTTATAAGATAAAACATAACTTATCACTCAAAGTTTTTTTTACGATTTTAATGCACCTGAAATTTTCATGTCTTCTGGTGGTATGAATAATACTTGAGTTCAGATTGAGAGCAACAAAAAGTTAAAACAGATAAAATCTATATGCCGGTTAAAAGGGTTTTGTAATACGTAACATAACTTCATGAATCAATAATTTTCGGTTTACATCCTATTTTTTTACCACTAACCACACTGAAAAAAAAATCTCTTCGAATAAATGAAAATCACTTTGATTCAAAAGATTTCATCTTAATTGAAAAGCTTAGGAACTTTCTAAGAAAGAAAGTTTGTCTTGCTACAAAAGCATATACTATTGACCTAACCACATTTATTCTGATTTTAGAGCAAATATCTCTTGGTTCAATAGTATGTATTGCTTCATTCAAAAGCTTCTAATCTTCACCGTTGTTGGTATTTAAGCTTCAAAAAAGTTTAGAAAAAAAAAATAAAATAAAATAAAACATTTGTTGTTTGATATCAACAAAAGCGCAATAAACTAACATAAATATGACATAAATATGACATAAATATAACATACAATTTTTATTACATTTTTTAATTAAGTACCTTCAAAAACATTCAACAAATTAATTAAATTTCATTTATTTAAAAAATGTTTTAATGATTTCAACTTCACTGTGAAAGTACATACAACACGCCACAACACAACATAACCGTCAAAATGTATATTAGAAATACCTATAAAAGAATTACTCTTCACCCTGTATAAAATTTAATAAACGTTTTATTCCCATACTACTCAAGAGCTGGCATACCTTTTATTATCTTTTTCGGTCTTTGGGGTCCCATTGAAACTTTGAGATAAGTTTACTTTCCACACTTTCCTAATTGTATATCTAACAATGTTACCTAAAAGTTATATGTATGTAGCTATTCTTTGTTCAAGGAAAGTTCGCTGATGCATCTTCGCTATAATGCGCAAAGTTTTGATATTTTATGTAAATGTTATTTAAAAGCCTTTAATGGAGATTCTAAATGCTATATGAAATATACAACAACTAGTCAAATAGGCCATCTTCAGACATCCACCAAATTGAAATTTTTGAGAAATGTTGATATTGAGTATACTTACCACATCATCAACAAAAGTGTGCTAAATTTCAACAGACCACAATATTTAATTTTTTAAATTTTTAGCGTACATTTGAGTTAAATTGTTAATTAAAACTTGTACGAAACATTTTAAAATATGCCGAATTGATTTCAGCATGTAAAGTTTTAATTAAATATCTACACAGAACTGTTTTTGGAATTTTAATTTATAATAAAAATCCTGTTAATTTATGTCGTGTTACGTCGAAATGCAACAAATACAGGGTGTTTAAAATACTAATTAAATTTGTTCGATTTTTCTTCTTATACGATTCTGCAATAATTCAAAAATATCACCATGGTCACTTTTTACCTGCCAGCATTAAATCCTTTAATTTAAAGGATTATTGTACTATTTTTAATAAAAATACCTCATTTAAGATAAAAAAACATTATTTTGTCAATTAATTAATTTAATCCTAATTGGGTCGTTTTTAAAAAACACCCGCCTTCCGCTGTCCGTAAGTTTGAATTCCAATAACTTTGTTAAAAATTATCGGATCTTATTGATTTAAAAACCAAGTGAAAGCCTAACAAGCCCTTAGTAAACTCTTTCAGAAAATTTTTGTTTAGTTATTTCAGAATAATTTTTTTTTAATTTTGAAACTTGTGAAACACACATTTTCGCATGTCCCATTAGCATTTTATAAAACTTACATACATGTTTTTTTTTTAAATTGAATAACCAGGACTTTGTGTTGCTTTATAGCAATCCATAACATCCTTAGTTAATACAGTAAACAATTTATATATAAAATAATCAATTTTAATCTACTTTTTTTAAATTTGACTCATATCCCAGACATTTTTTCCGTTGCGTTACGTCCGTCGCGTTACCGATAGAATATTAAAAAAAAACATATATATGGCAACTTTTTTGGCACTCACGTGATCCACAAATGATGTTCGGACGTACACATTAACCAGCTGAATTTATTTATTCAATCAGGAAGAAGATATCGGTTGAAACAGGTGCGGGTAACGCGAATGTAATAATTGTTTGTCCGCTAAGTTACTCAAAAAAATAATAAAAATAAGGTAAGAAAAAATACTATTTTTCACGTTTATGTTTATTTTAGGGCACTAAAGCTCATTGAGAGTAATTAATGACTATAATGTCTTATTAGGTATTATTTTTTAAATATGGTTTTACAAAACTTTGTCCACTGCGTTACCGAGTCCACTATGTTACCTTATGGTAACGCAATAGAATTTTTGGATATTTACCGTCGCTTTTAGTAAAAGTAGTTTATGATAAACCAATTTAAAATTATTTGTGATTACAACTCACGATATAGATTACATCTAAGGAAAAATTCCAAGCAATATAAAAGTACTAAAATGGACCTTCACCAGCTTATAGTCAAAGAAAAAGGGTGTCTACAATTTAGAAATCTAAGTTGTTATTCTGCAAGTGAGCACCACTACAAGGGATTTTGTTTATGCATTACTTTAAAATCGTACCACCCTATATAGTTTCTTTTTTACGTTATCTGATTAAGTCCTTTGTGTACCCCTGTCCGTTGTGATATCAATGTCTATTTCGTTACTTTTATTAGTTTTTGTTAAAAAAAAAATACTTAAAATGATTTTTATACACTATCAATACGTGTTTATAAATTACAGTTTAATTCACTAATACAGTGACTAAAAGAAAATATTAATGGTATTGTTTTTTTAACAAAGAATCGGAATGGTTTCTTTTAAAAAGTAACTTAACGAACATACATATTTAAAAAAAAGCATACAATTTTTAATAAAAAATAAATTAAAAAATTGGAGTCAATAGTTTGTGAACTAAGTACATTTTATTTCAAATTATTTTTATAACTTTATAAAAAAAATTAAAAAGTGCACTGCCTGTCTTAAATGTAAGTAAACAAAACTCTAAACATTTATAAAAATTCAACCAAAAGTCAATTTAAGCAAAAAAAAATTTACCAAACACATAACTTTTTGGTTATAATATTAAAATAATGTCGTATACAAAGAACTAAAATCAATATTTAAAGCTTTACTGTTCTGAAAATAAGCTTAAAGTGAATCTTCTTATAAGCTTAGTTACTTTTAAGTATGTCTGATGCCTTTGATTAAAAAAATTTACTCACCAGACTGTTAAATAGCATTTCACGCTGAATTATGTGTATTCATTAAGTTGAATACACACTATTTTCTCATAAACAGAAGTAAGTACTGTCACCATTTTACTTCTTAAGCACGTAAATAACTTAAAAACCAAAACACCGAAAAAACAATGTTTAAATGGAGAACAGCACTTATTTAGAGTGTCTGTCAAAAACGAAATGGGCACGGTTCACATATTTAATTAATTTATTGCGGAGCAGGCCATGTAAATGGATGTTATTGCCGCGCCAATTGTTTTTTATTTAGTGCCCATTTATGTCGCGTAGTTCATAAATTTATTTCGAAATTTAAATGAAATACTTTGATATCATGTTTTTACAGTTTTGCGTCGTTTTTTATGTTTAGACATCAATTTTTATCTAAAAAAGTCTTTTACAATTAATAAAAATATCAGAAATTATAATATAAACTGTTAACTGTTATTTTATGATAAATAAATAAACGGTGAGGTTGATACAATGGCAGACCAGAACACCAAAGAATTATTAGAAATTAGGAAAATGAAGATCAAAATATTTTTTTTTGCTTAAATTGACTTTTGGTTGGATTTATATAAATGTTTAGAGTTTTGTTTACTTAAATTTAAGACAGGCAGTGCACTTTTTATTTTTTTTTATGTTTTTTTTCAGAAAAATGTGTTTAGCTAGCTTTATATATCTCCACTGTGTTACCAATTTGAAATCCAAAATTTAATTCAATAAAAATAATTTGAAATAAAATGTACTTAGTTCACAAACTTTTGACTCTAATTTTTTATTTTATTTTTTATTAAAAATTGTATGTTTTTTTTTAAATATGTATGTTCGTTAAGTTACTTTTTAAAAGAAACCATTCCAATTCTTTGTTAAAAAAACAATACCATTAATATTTTCTTTTAGTCACTGTATTAGTGAATTAAACTCTAATTTATAAACACGTATTACCAAGTGATAGTGTATAAAAATCATTTCAAGTATTTTTTTAACAAAAACTAAATAAAGTAACAAAATAGACATTGGTATCACAACGGACAGGGGTACACAAAGGACTTATATATAGGGTGGTACGATTTTAGAGTTATGCATAAACAAAATTACAACTTAGATTTCTAAATTGTAGACACCCTTTTTTTTGACTATAAGCTGGCGAAGATCCCTTTTAGTACTTTTATATTGCGTGGAATTTTTACTTGGATGTAATCTATATCATGAGTTGTAAGTACAAATAATTTTAAATTGGTTAATCTTAAACTAGTTTTAATAAAAGCGACGGTAAATATTCACTTTGTTGTCGAAAAATTCTATTGCGTTACCCTAAATTCCATTGCGTTACCATAAGGTAACATAGTGGACTCGGTAACGCAGTGGACAAAGTTCTGTAAAACCATATTTAAAAAATAATATATTATTTTTTAAATATGGTTTTACAGAACTTTGTCCACTGCGTTACCGAGTCCACTATGTTACCTTATGGTAACGCAATGGAATTTAGGGTAACGCAATAGAATTTTTCGACAACAAAGTGAATATTTACCGTCGCTTTTATTATAATAAGACATTATAGTCATTAATTACTCTCAATGAGCTTTAGTGCCCTAAAATAAACATAAACATGAAAAATAGTATTTTTTCTTACCTTATTTTTATTATTTTTTTGAGTAACTTAGCGGACAAACAATTATTACATTCGCGTTACCCGCACCTGTTTCAACCGATATCTTCTTCCTGATTGAATAAATAAATTCAGCTGGGTAATGTGTACGTCTGAACATCATTTTTTGATCGCGTGAGTACCAAAAAAGTTGCCATATATATGTTTTTTTAATATTCTATCGGTAACGCGACGGATGTAACGCAACGGAAAAAATGTCTGGGGCAAAAAAAGTAGATTAAAATTAATTATTGTATATATAAATTGTTTACTGTATTAACTAAGGATGTTATGGATTGCTTTAAAGCAACACAAAGTTCTGGTTATTTAATTTATGAAGAAACAGGACAGCGGCGAGATGTATCGGCAAGTCAATCTGGAGACATCTACCGTCTAAAGACTACTAACTATTGTTATTTCTAAACCTTTCTATTAATAAATGAAAGGTTAGATTAAGAACTCCTTTATACCTTGTAGTATTATAAGTGTTAGTTCACGTAGGTTTGACAGAATACGAATCCACTAAAGGGTAACTATTACCTTGTAGCAGTTAATATTTTTTGACGAGAACGTTTTTGGAACTTTCCTGGCACATCCACCATTTTTGACAGTTTATAAAATAAACTCCAGATATGAGGACACCCTGTATATTATCAATAATAATTACATCATGTCTCAAAATCGATCAGGCAAAACTTCCATTGGAGTTCAAAATAGAAACTACGTGCGAAAATTTAAATTTAATATCCTTAATTAAGGTACCCGGAAGGGACTTAATAAGGATCTGTCCAACCGTAGCGAGGAATGGGAACGTGAAAAAACGCGCACTCACTTTGCTACGCCGCGACGGCAAAAAACGCTACGTGACAACGTTGCCACAGCCACAGTAGCTGCACTTAAGAGTAATATGATTATAGCGGTTTTAAAGCTTTTTGGACATTGAATTGGCTTTTCTTTTGAAGCTTAATTCAGCTTCGGCAGTTTTTTCACGGATTATTTTACAAAGAATTAATATTATCTACAGGGCCTTAAATATTACTACTATAAATTTAATAGCAACTGCCTATAGATATATAAAAAAGAATGAAAACGTCAATTGCAGACTTGAGTAATTAATAGTTTCAGGCAAACTGTCCTTAAACTAAGGTCGTTAAAAGTTTAATCGGCTTTATGCAAAGTTTTATAATTTGTTAGCAAAAAAAGTTTTTCTTTTCTTTTATCACACTTTTTCCTTAAATACAGATAACTTTCTTATTTCAAACGAAAATTCGTTTAATGAAACATCCATGATAGTTCCAAGTGCTGCCAAGAGTCATCCTGTTGATTGGAGCCTCTAAAAATTTTCTTCGATGTTTAAATTTTATTTCGAATGCTTTCTCCTGTATAACCCTCAGCAGAAGATGTTGAACACCATCCCCCGTCTTTTCAAATCAGGGATACTGCCCCATTATCAACCAACATGGTAGCTGCACTCCTTCGCATACATTGTGTAGCTATTGCAATCAGGAAGCTTCAAATATTCAGCAAACTATAAAATATGTTGATCCCCACCGGTTGCACAGTGCATTTACCATTCCGGTAACAAACGAAAAATCTGGAATGATTCGCGTTTTGTGGCCTTAATTTACGATACTTCCGATACAACTCAATTTCGTTCGCTTCCGAGGTTATCGCTTCTTTTTCGTTTTTGTATTACGTAGTGTTACGATGATAACTGATTCATTCTCTTCTATATCGTTGATTGTTAGTGTTCGTAATTCTTCCCCTCGCATTGCTCCTTTAAAGCAAAAATTAATGCCACCTTCATAAATAGATACGATTCATTCGAAGCGTCATTTAGAAACTTCATAATTTGTTCAATCGACAACACTTTTGACTTTTTAGGTTCATATCCTTCACTCTGTTTTTCCAAAATTATTAATTGCTTGTATTTTGAAATGTCACTACCTTCATATATTTGCAACGTACTCTTCAGAATCGAATATGTTGACCACAGTGACGATGCCTTCAGATTTTTGGACTAAAAATACAAGAACAAATCGGAAAATTTATTTTTTAAAAGCATTAGCTTCTTACCTTTCCCAAAAAACGCTAGCATAACATTTTCACTGACACCTTGTACCTCTTGATCGTTTCTCCATCGACAGAATTGTTCAAAAGTTTTATCATATTTTTCTTTTGACTTTACCGACCACCCCGTATAGGTTTTACGGAATAAACTGCAACATTTTAGTTCCAATTTGCGAGTATGTAATAAAAATATGTCACGAAAGAGATCTTAATTAATCGCAGCTCGTTTAGCAGCTTCCCGCATTTTGTATCTACAAAATATGGTAGTTTTAGTCGTTCATAACGAGAGTCGTAAACTCGATGCCATCAAAAAAATTAAATATTTTTTACTGCTCTCGCAAACCAAGACAATTTTATCACATTAGGGTCAGTTACTTCTTAACAAACGTTTTTTATTTTAGGTTATGGTAACATATTCCCGCACACACCAGAGGGAAAGATTACCACCATAGTATACGCTATTATAGGAATGCCTCTATTCCTACTATACTTGTCCAATATTGGCGATATAATGGCAAGGTTTGTATAAATAGGGGTGTCCAAAGAGTTTTTTTATATTTTTTTATATTCAGGTCCTTTAAATGGGTCTACGCGAACTGCTGCCTGTGTAGGTGGTGTCCAGGGGTGTCCAGAAGGAGAGCTGAAAGAAGGATGAGAAAAAATAGGGAGCAATACGTCGACTATAGTTCCGGAGAGAGTTCGAAGAGTAGTAGCAACTATAGGGTAAGTTCTTGTCAAAATTTGACAAGTGACATTTCATTCAATCAATGTTTTTTAGATAAATATAGAAAGACCTTCGTCTAGTAGCCAAACCCAAGAATCCAAAGAGAGTTCTGTATCCGATGAGATTACAGAGATTGATGGTGATGATGAATCTTACGACGTTCAAACTGTGACAGTGCCGATAACAATATGTCTTTTAATTATGGTTGGGTATATTTGTGGTGGTGCCCTCCTCTTCTGTAGATGGGAGGACTGGAAAATGATGGATGCCTCATATTTTTGCTTTATATCACTGAGCACAATCGGTTTTGGGGATCTGGTGCCAGGAGATAAAATTTTCAGCAGAGGAAATGATTTCTACAGTGAGGTTCTGGAGCTGAGTTTTGTTTTCTGCTCCATGTATCTCATGCTGGGTATGGCCTTAATCGCAATGTGCTTCAACTTAATGCAGGTAACATACCTTATTATTTTTTTAAATCAAGTCTCTTGCCAACTGTATTTATTATATTTACATATAAGGTAGTAAATTTGTCCACAATTAATTCTAAACTAACCAGGAAAAAGTGGGGCGCAAACTTAAAACAAATTATAAACTTTTGAGGCGAAACTTTCGCCGGTGTGTGGGAGCTTAGCCATGGGGATTTTCGTTTCGTAAAGTTGGCAAGAACGAAGAAACAAAACAAGTCGATCTATATGAGATAAAACACCTGTGCTCTGGGTGGCTCTTGTAAAGCAACTGAGAGACCTAAATAAGTTTTAAAATTGTTATATTTTTCAGGAGGAAGTCATCCATAAGATACGCACTACAGTGAAAACTGTAAACAATATATTTCAATGTAAAAAAAGAAATGCTAATTAAGAAAAAATCTTCAATGAAGAAATTTGTATAAAAGAAGAAGACTGATTATTTACTGCCCCTTTTGTGTCCCGTAAATAACCAAGAAAACTATATATCAAGACAATTATCAGAGGTAAAAATGTAAGTATATATAACGTAGTGTATACAATAAATAAAATGCAATTAATAGGATTGGAATTGCAAATTTAGAAGACCATTGAATTTTAATTTTCCCAAATTATAATAAATTTATTCAAGATTCTTATCTCACAGCAACTGAAAATGAATTGCAAATTTAAATTAACGGAATTCTACCGATATTTTTGAGTCTTGATACAAAAAATACATATTTTTAGTTATGACTTTATTTAAATTTCAAATCTATTAATTAACGCCATAAAAGCTCTTGATGATATCGCTGACCTTTTCACCCACCATAACACAAGGAGCATTAGGATGGCCGGTTAGAGTGAGTGGGAATATCGAAGCATCTGCCACTCTTAACTTGTCGACACCATAAACCTTCAAGTTTTCATCGACAACTAGTCCCATTGCGCAGGTCCCGACAGGGTGGTTAACGGGGTGTCCCACTTGTTTGATGACGCACTTCCAGAATTTTTGCGATAGTTTTTTGAGGTATTTACAAGCTGGTAGTTGGGGGATTACGAGTTGAGTGTCCATTTTCTTCATCGATGGGGTTTGTATTAACTTCATCACCATGTTGATGGCTTCGTATAGGGTGTTGATGTCTTTGTTGTCTTTGTCTGTCAGTAAATTTGGGTCTATTAAAGGGTAGTCGAATGGACTGTTGGAGTTTAGGCGAACAGTGCCTGTGGAGTGAGCATGAAGTCCAAAAAGGTCGATTTTGAAGATTCTTTTATTCGGGTCTTGTTTCGTGTAGGTTTTGTAGGTTGCATCTTTCAAATTGAGGATTTTCTTCGAAAAGTCTTTGGTTGCGTTGCCGAAATTTGGCACCAAAATGATTTCTACATCGGGGTAATCCTTTATTGTTTCAATATGGGTTTGGTAGAAGCCAAAAGCATCATTTGGGCCTGGAGCAGCCAATCCTCCTACACCTTTAAGGAATTCTTGTACATACTCACGAAGTTGCTTGTTCTCCAGAGTATAGTTACTGCTAAAATACAAGGTTATACCTATATGATCTCTTAAGGCACTTCCTACTTCCAGATCTTTGATCACATTGATTTTTTTACTTTTTAGATGTTTTTTTGGACCAATTCCCGATAGCATTAGTAATTGTGGTGTACTTATAGCACCTGCTGAGACTATAACTTCTTTTGAAGCTTTAGCAGTAAAATACTTACCATTGTGGGCAAATCTCACCCCTGTAGCTTTATTATTTTCTATTATCAACTTAGTAACGTAGCTTTGCGACATGATTTTCAAATTTTCTCTAGTTTCAGCAGGTTTAATGTAAGCTTTATAAGCACTGTATCTTCTACCATTCTGTGTATTCGTAGGTGCTTTTGAAACGCCCTCACCAATTCCAGCGTTTACGTCTATAACCTTATAACCCAAATCCTCGTTCCCCCCGATATAATTCGGGTACTCCTCACTTTCAGGCTCAGAAAACTCTACAAGCAACGGTCCATCCTCACCGTGCATATCACTCTCTATCGCGATTTCTTGACCCTCTTTCCAGTCCGTTGGGTAATCCTCAGCTTTTTTGAAATACGGCAAGACTTTATCGTACGACCACCCAGAGAAGCCCATTTTAGCCCATTGGTTGAAACCTTCCTGCGATCCTCTGGAGTAGGCCAAGCCGTTTACAACTGTTGTACCGCCCAGGGCTCTGCCTCTTGGGAAGGGACATCTTTGGTTTTTCATTCCTAAGTAGAGTTTGAAAAAATATTACCAGTCAGTGTTATTTAAGTATATTTTCTCACCTAAACAGCTTGTTTTTTGCGGGACGCTCAAGAATCCCCAGTTATAGTCTGACAACAGGGAAATTGTGGTCATTGCTGGAATTTCTGTGAAATTATTTTCATATCCTCCAGCTTCAATCAACAACACGTTCCAGTTGTTTATTTCCGTCAAACGGTTTGCTATGACGCTGCCTGTGGATCCTGATCCTACTATAATGAAGTCATATGTACCAAAATCTAAAAAAAATTAAACTAGAAGTCGATCACGGCATCAACATCTTCCTTCAGCAAACTTACCTGTGTTTTGCTTTTCACTTTTTGGTTGGTAACGTTTAGCGTTTTTATCCAATTCATATTTTTCAGCATGTTGGTATTCAGTGTTAATTAATTTTTCGTAATAATCGACCAAATTGGTGTCTTCTTCTTCATCTTCATTACCGTAACCGAAAACTAGGATGGCCAAAACTAAAACTCTCTTAGGAATCATGGCCAAGGCAGTTCTAAACTATATATCGAACAAAACTAAGTACATATATATAATTGTGACTTAAAGGGATTTATAGTTTATAACTGGATTATAATGATTTTACGTAGTTGTCAGGGTTGGACTTAAACATATTTTTAGCAATATTATTAGAAAGAAGCGTTAGTCCCAGAAGTTTGTTTTAAAATGCGCGGTTTTTTTAGGTGCCATCAATCTAACAATAACAATCTGCTTTCTAAGAAACAACTTTTATATTACAAAATGTTACAAGAAGAAAATATTGCAGGAAATAATGTATGTAAATAATAAATTATGTATTATAATATGAATTAAAATAATGTTTTTACACAAAAAAAGTATTTTTTTTCATGCCTAACATAACATTGGAGTTCGTACTTTTATAAATTTTATTTATTTCTTTTTAAAGCTAGATGTACATAATATTGTAAAACATAAGGATTAAATAATAAAAATAAAAACTAAATTTATTTAAGAGAGTAAATATAAATTTAATAAAGTCTGTAAAGTTCAAATTTTCATTTCGTTTGTTCCTATAACAACAAAACATATTTATTTAATTTATCATTAATTAATGTAGATAATTTTTATATACAGAGTGTTCATTTCCAGTGTTCAAACACCCATCTTTTTTATAAATAACATTATTTGGCTATTTTACCCCCATTGTACAAGACGTAAATGCGATTGATGACGCAAGGTAAAAAATTCAAAAATTGACTGACTCGGTCCGACAATGTTATGTAATGTTAGGTTAGGTGGTCAGTAGCGTATCATTTAGAGTAAGAAATAAACTTCGAATTGGTTTTTTAAATGAAATGCCCCTGGTTTTTGGACTTGACCTGTATTAATGTTGTTTAAGCCAACTTAATCATTAATATTGGTTACAAAGGATTGTTAATAAAAAAATACGTATTTTTATTTATGACTTTATTTAAATTTCAAATCCATTAATTAACGCCATAAAAACTCTTGATGATATCGCTGATTTTTTCGCCCACCATAACACAAGGAGCATTGGGATGGCCGGTTAAAGTAAGTGGAAATATCGAAGCATCTGCGACTCTCAACTTGTCGACACCATAAACCTTCAAGTTTTCATCGACAACTTGTCCCATTGCGCAGGTCCCGACGGGGTGGTTGACTGGGTGTCCCACTTGTTTGATGACGCACTTCCAGAATTTTTGCGATAGTTTTTTGAGGTTCTTGCAAGCTGGTAGTTGAGGGATTACGAGTTGAGTGTCCATTTTCTTCATCGATGGGGTTTGTATTAACTTCATTACCATGTTGATGGCTTCGTATAGAGTGTTGATGTCTTTGTTGTCTTTGTCTGTCAGTAAATTTGGGTCTATTAGAGGGTAGTCGAATGGACTGTTGGAGTTTAGGCGAACAGTGCCTGTGGAGTGAGCATGAAGTCCAAAGAGGTCGATTTTGAAGATTCTTTTATTCGGGTCTTGTTTCGTGTAGGTTTTGTAGGTTGCATCTTTCAAATTGAGGATTTTCTTTGAAAAGTCTTTGGTTGCGTTGCCGAAATTTGGCACCAAAATGATTTCTACATCGGGGTAATCCTTTATTGTTTCAATATGGGTTTGGTAGAAGCCAAAAGCATCATTTGGGCCTGGAGCAGCCAATCCTCCTACACCTTTAAGGAATTCTTGTACATACTCACGAAGTTGCTTGTTCTCCAGAGTATAGTTACTGCTAAAATACAAGGTTATACCTATATGATCTCTTAAGGCACTTCCCACTTCCAGATCTTTGATCACATTGATTTTTTTACTTTTTAGATGTTTCTTTGGACCAATTCCCGATAGCATTAATAATTGTGCTGTACTTACAGAACCTCCTGAGACTATAACTTCTTTTGAAGCTTTAGCAGTATAATACTTACCATTATAAGCAAATCTCACCCCTGTAGCTGTATTATTTTCTATTATCAACTTAGTAACGTAGCTTTGCGACATGATTTTCAAATTCTCTCTGGTTTCAGCAGGTTTAATGTAAGCTTTATAAGCACTGTATCTTCTACCATTCTGTGTATTCGTAGGTGCCTTTGAAACGCCCTCATCAATTCCAGCGTTTACGTCTATAACCTTATAACCCAAATCTTCGTTTCCCCCGATATAATTCGGGTACTCCTTACTTTCAGGCTCAGAAAACGTAACAAGCAACGGTCCATCTTTACCGTGTACATCACTGTCTATCACGATTTCTTGACCCTCTTTCCATCCCGTTGGGTAATCCTCAGCTTTTTTGAAATACGGCAAGACTTTATCGTACGACCACCCAGAGAAGCCCATTTTAGCCCATTGGTTGAAGCCTTCCTGAGATCCTCTGGAGTAGGCCAAGCCGTTTACAACTGTTGTACCGCCCAAGGCTCTGCCTCTTGGGAAGGGACATCTTTGGTTTTTCATTCCTAAGTAGAGTTTGAAGAAATATTACCAGTCAGTGTTATTTAAGTATATTTTCTCACCTAAACAGCTTGTTTTTTGTGGGACGCTCATGAATCCCCAGTTATAGTCTGACAACAGGGAAATTGCGGTCATTGCTGGAATTTCTGTAAAATTATTTTCATATCCCCCAGCTTCAATCAACAACACGTTCCAGTTGTTTATTTCCGTCAAACGGTTTGCTATGACGCTTCCTGTGGATCCTGATCCCACTATAATGAAGTCATATGTACCAAAATCTAAAAAAAATTAAACTAGAAGTCTATCACTACATCAACATCTTCTTTCAGCAAACTTACCTGTGTTTTGCTTTTCACTTTCTGGTTTGTAACGTTTGGCATTTTTATCCCATTTATATTTTGCAGCATTTTCGTATTCAGTGTTGATCAATTTTTCGTAATAATCGACCAAATTGCTTTCTTCATCTTCAACTCCATAACCAGAACCAAAAAGTAGGATGGTCAAAATTAAAACTCTATTTGGTATCATGGCTAAGGCAGTTATAACTCTTATCAAACAAAACTAACTATATTTATATATTTAGTTTTGTTGTGACTTATGCGAGCACGCTAAAGTATTATTAAGGAATTATAATAATTTAACGTTTGTGGCAGGGTTGGACTTAACATATTTTCAAGCAATATTATTAAAAACGAGAATATTTTAAGAAACTAGTTTTAGTTTTATAATGAATGTAAGTGTGTAAGTAAACAACAAACACTGTAATAATAATAATAATATAAATTAAAAAAATGTTTTTACACAGAAATATTGGCATTATTATAAATTTTATTTTGTAGTCCGTACCTTATTTTATTATTTAATTTAATACTTGGATGTATATAATTATTAATTGTTTAAAATAAGGATTTAAAAAATTATAATAAAAAGTAAATATTAATTTAAGGTCTGTAAAGTTAATTTTTTAATTTCCTTTGTTTCTATAAAATTTTTATATATTTATTTAATTTAACAATAATTAATGTAGATTTTTTATACATAGTGTACTTATACATCCCAGAAAAAAAAATTAAATTATAACCTAAATGCCCTCTAGTATGTTTAGCATTATTACCCTAATTATTCAATAATTATCTCTTTTGATAAATGTTTATAGGCTTCAGTAATCAGAAAAACATAACTTTGTAATGTATGTGCATTTTAAGCTAAATTTTACAGTTAAATTAATTTTAATTTATGATTAAATACAATGCGCTAGTTTTATGTTCTTTAACATTATCATTTGATAACTTTTTGGTTTTATTGTTTTAAAATGTTTTTGTTTGTCTAGGTCTTCTTTATTTGGGTTTTTAACAATAAAAATTATTGTTTGTTCTTTATTACTTAATATTGCAGTTACCGCCTCTGTGCTTGGCACGGCAGAATAAAATGCGCGAAAAACTGCTATTTCCCCTTACATAGAGTACTAGCTTCAAATCCTTAAGATCTTTAGCATTTACTTGTTTTATTATTTCTCTGTCAATGATGAGTGATTTATTAACTAAAATGTTATTTTTGTTTTTCAAAAACAATACAAAAATTCACAAGGAAAATTTGTAGGATAAAAATACAATATATTTCAATATTTAGACACGTGAATGTTCGGTAGATAATGCTTCCTAAATAACAAAAGACAACATTTTTTTTTAATATTTACTCATATATTTATTAGTTGTACTAATCACAAAAGTCTACAACAAAATTCCTTGTACTGCTATAAAACAAAAATTTCAAATATTTACCAATAGATTAGTTTTACTATTTACAAAAATTAGTCGGTTCTCTACCGCTAAATTACCACATGTTATGAATTATCTACATTTTTAGTGGCATATTGCAGCAAGACAGAAATAATATCTTTTAAAAACGATAACCAACCTCAATACATTGCCATATGGAATTCTTTCAATTGCTGGGATACTTAGAATGCATTGTTGATATTATAATATGTAAAATATTTGGTCATCATTATTTATGATTTTAAGTTATGTTTTCCTCCTCTGATCATGCCGAAATATTTTCAATACATACATATTTTCAATGCCTTTGATGCAAATAGTAGGAAGAGCATAAGGAAAGTTTCCAGGTACAATCTAACGCTTATCATTGGTTACAAAGGTTATAGGTCTTAAAGATACTAACTAATAGAGATTCATAAAACAAAAAACACACATTTTTTAGTAAATAATTTATTTAAAATCATTATTTAACGCCATAAAAACTCTTGATGATATCGCTGACCTTCTCGCCCACCATAACACAAGGAGCATTCGGATGGCCGGTTAAAGTAAGTGGGAATATCGAAGAATCAGCGACTCTTAACTTGTCGACACCATAAACCTTCAAGTTTTCATCGACAACTTGTCCCATTGGGCAGGTCCCGACAGGGTGGTAAACGGGGTGTCCCACTTGGTGTATGACGCACTCCCAGAATGGTTGCGATAGTTTTTTGAGGTTCCTACAAGCCGGTAGTTGAGGGATTACGAGTTGAGTGTCGATTTTCTTCATCGATGGGGTTTGTATTAACTTCATTAC